TGTCTCTCATTCCCTTTCCAAACAGGCTTCACACTACCAGAGTGAGATTCACAGGGTTAAAAATAACTTCAGCAGTAACATGTTTTACGTCTAATTCCAATTGCTTTGTGGTATTACACAGAAACAGTACAATTGTGTCTTAAATTAAGTTCATTTTGTCATTTAATCAATGTAATACAACACTTTGCCCCCTTAATACACATTTTAGTTATAAAAAAATCAAACTGAATATGATCGTGTTCCAGTTACCACGCACTTAATAAAACTTCGAATTACAGTATTTATGTTATTGATTATCTTCAATTTTGTGTTTGATGCCAGTTCTTTAATATTTGATATTGAAATGTGATAACACTGATATAAAACTTTGAAACTGGTCAAACCATTTAAAAAAATTAAAACAGGAACTGTCGTCAAAATCGACCATCCTTCTACCAATTATTTCTGTGTTCTTTAATACGCAATTAATCTCGGCATAACAATTATATAACTGTATCACTGATACTTTGTTTTTAATCCTTATTTCTATGTTTTATATTTTTTCAGAAAGATATGGCATTAGAGAACTAAGTACTGTGTTAATGATTATGATGATTAAGGCAAAGATCATTAATAATAAAGATTGGTTTTTGATGACTATTTGGCTATCAAATGTTTTTAGAAACCTAGAACGCATATTTGTTTGCACTCCTGGAAAAGCTTTGACACGGTCAATTGGAAAGGTGTAATGAGGAGTTGTAAAAGGACATGAAGAAAAACATTCTACAGCAGATGGCAGCAACGTTCGTATTCTGCAGCCTGCAGCCGTTCGATGAAATATGATGCTGTAGTCTGAGACATACGCCTCTCTGCAGGCAGAAAAGAGTGTGGATAGCCAAAAGCAACAGAGTACCCCTATCTACTTCAGTGCTAAGGGCGCAGACTGCTCTGTGAAGGTCTGGACCACCGTTCTCTCCTGCCTTGGGAAGTCGTCGGTTTTTAAAACTTTTTTTCAAATGTACATTCGTCTACTTTCAGCTCTTTCATTATAGTTCAGTTGCCGTACTATTTTGTTTAGTTCTACTTCAATAATTCGTTGCGTATTTTTTAAAAAATTGCTCGACCTTTTCCATCTTGTACTTTAAAATCTTATATTGGTTCTGAACACTCGAGGATATACCGTTATTGTAGGATGGCTGGGATTATGTACAAAAGAAGAGGAGAAAAGTATGAGATATTTATTACTTTGATTTATTTTTCTATGGTTTATTCTTACAACATCGATTTAGAACACCCCATAGTATATGGCGGTAAAGATGGCACTTTTTTTGGATACTCCGTCCTGGAACATTACCATGATAATACACGCTGGTAAGTTAAAACTCACCTGTAAAATTACTCATCACTACTAATACGAAATGTAAAGCCGCAGAAATTTTGTGGAAAATTATTTTTCCAGTATGGCTGTGGAGTGCCCAAGTACTTTGCCTGTACTGCGCCACAAATTGACGTGTTTCCACTTTTAATTATTATTTTTATTATTTGGCAGGTGAACGATCTTTTGCGGCTGGTATTAACATAATCTTAACCTCACTCATTCTGTTAACCCCAGTGTTTTACAGCTGATGTATGGGTGAATTTGAGCTGTATGCTTTATTTGTTTAGTGAAATAGAAGTGTTACCAGTTTCAGTGGAAGCTCTGAACCAAGGTGGTTTGATTGGGTCAATGGCTTATCCTGCCGTCAGTCCATCGGCAGTCACGTTTAATAGCCTATATCCACATTACTAATTTTTATTAGATATTAATATTTTTTTTGTTATTTTATATCTCCTGACGTTTATATTATTACTGTTCAGAAAGATTAAACACACCGTACATGTGTGCATTTAAGATTTATAATCTGTATGCACAACTCTACCAAATTACTTCTGTACAAATGCCAGAGACCCAATATAGTTCCAGGCACATACTTCAATTTCTGTTCTTTGTTTTGTGTAAGAGAGCATTTCTTTTCTACTTCTAGCAAAAATCAAATGAACCTGTAATTCTCCATAAAAACTGTAAGTCTCCTTACACAGAGACCTGTTTTAAACTCTGGTTGTCATGGAAGACTTTTTTAAAAAGTAGAAACTTTACACAAACTGTTGCAATCAAGATTATTTCCCTGTTTTTGGTCAACTAAATATACAGTATCATCAATATATCCCATTAACAGAACTGTCTCTCCTTATTCTCATTTCTTTTAAATTTTGCCTCCTTTTCAGAGCCAAAAAAATTCACATGGCACTAATTGCTTGTAGGGGGTTAAAAATATCCTTATTAACCCCTTTTTTTCTACATGATAGCTAAGACTATGAGGCAGGATTCTGAAAAATGATTCATGTAATGCTAGGTGTTACAATGTGAATGCCATATAATTTGATGTGTAATCAAGACCAAGTCATAAACAATACCAAAATATCACCAAAAACTGATAAAAAGCACATTAGTACAGCCCTGTTGTATTAATACAGAGCTGTTGCACTGTGAACTCGTAGCTTTAGTTTTGTCTCAGCTATACAATTTTAAGCATAAAATCCTTATGTACTCTTGCTAATAATAAAATAGAACACTTAAAAGTAATATTCACCTAAACTGCATTGGTTACTTCTGCAATATTTTATCTGTAGAAGTATCATGCAATATTACTTATAATGTACAGTACTTGTATGTAAATAAAGCATAGCTTTCAAAACATGCCACCCAGTTCTGATCTGTTTTTCAGAAACATGCAGGGTGAAATAGCTTGCAAAAAATAATACTTTGCCTCAAATTCCATGGGCTCAAAGACCTTGGGTTCTTTTACCTTGTTTTTTTTTAAAGCAAACATTACATCAGACAATGCTTTTTTCAAGATATATATGTAATTTGGTCTTTTTAAAGTATATGTACATAGAAAGAAGGCATAAAATGACAAGTTATTTTAAGAAAAGAAGAATAGCTTGTTTTAGATGAAAACACATGATTTTTCTTGAAATTATTTCAAAATATTGTTCTATGCCCTAATGGATTGCCAGTTGCTCACTTTTATTTGTAATGCTATGGAAACCAGAATAAACTTTGGACCAATGAGCCAATATGCCTTGGATATGGAAATTACCTACCTATCACTCAGATTTAAAACATCTGTAACTCGTCTGTATCTCAGGTTTCTATGCTATTACAAAGTGTGACTTTGAGCATCTTGTGAAAGTCTACAATACTAGTGGTTTAACTTTCATATTGCAAAGGAGATCCCATTTGATATGAAACCCAATTTGTATATACTGTATGCATATTCGTGTCACTATTATTTGTAATCAAAGGTATTACAAGAAGTTCCAGTACTGCCAACAGGGCAATCACACTATCTCTTCTGAACCCTTAGTCTATACATTTGTCTACAATTAAATGCATAGTAGCTGTTCCATATGGGCTTTGCTGAAAATTGTCAGGACTGTCAATGTTCAATGGGTCCCCTGTCTTTTAATTGAATCACAGGAGCTGATTGTAGGGTTTATTTTACTGCTCTGCCTGTGTGAAGTCATGTCAGGGGGGCAGTGTCACAGCTTGAGGAAACTCCTACTGCATTGAATGAGTAGAGTATATATAAAGAAATGCATTGTTTTTTTTTTCACTCATACAGGGTGTTAGTTGGTGCTCCTAAGGCAAACTCCTCCTTCAGCAATTCAGTGAAGACTCCAGGAGCCGTGTTCAAGTGCCGTGTGCACAGTAACCCTGAGAAGAGATGTACTGAGATCAACCTGGGAAGAGGTCAGTGCTTTCATTCTGCCTCTCAACTGCATGTTTAGAAGGATAAGCTAAAGCAGATGGATATTTCAATGAGTAACTTCAAATGCTCCATTATGAAATGTGCTAAAACAAACAAGCAGCTAAAAATAGCTGAAGGCATTGTGCAGAGGAGATGATAGTAGGTAAAACAAAAAATGGAAAAGGATACAGTTGAAAAGATAAAATAAGAGTCAAAAGGGTTTCATTTTAGGGTTACTGATATCCCTGATAACAAGAAAAAATTTGGGTCGGTGTGGACAGTTAATCAGTATATTAGTGTGTCTTCTTAAATGTTTGGAATCAAGAGGACTCCACTGACAGTCACACTTACCTTTGCTGGTAAAAGCTGATCAAAACGTTGCCAAGGACTGAGTGGAAAGTAAAGCTTCACTGCCAGTTCCTTGTGTGATCGTGATGAATCAGTGTTACTATGCTAGTGCAATTCAAAGGAGTCACATGAGATATGTATCTGGTGATGTCAAACCACCATTAGCCCAACCCCGTTTGTTAAAGGAAATGCTTGCATCAATCTTGTCTTTTCAAACAATGAAGGGACAGTAAGATAGACAGAGGTGAGAGAACCATTAGGGAACAACGATCAAAACACGGTGTGCTTTGAAGTGTATTTTGAAGCTGTGCAGATTGAGTCCAAATCAAAAGACTACAACTTCAGGAAAGCGGACCTTTAAGGCATGAGACACTGTTTAAATGAAGTAGAATGGGATGGGACAGATATGTTATCAGTGGATGGCAGAAGCTTAAAGAGATTCTGCTCAAATCACAGAACATATTTATCCCAAGAGTTAAGTTGAAAAGTAGTATCCCAGATGGTTCAACACATCAATTAGGAAACATAAGAAAACACAAGTAAATTTGTAAAAATAAATTAAAAACTCCACGAGTGCAATGTATTACAAGTACAGGTTAAAAAGAATATCCTAAATGCCAAAATGGAGACAGAAAGGAATATAACAATTGAGGCTAAAACAAAGAATTAAAAGTACTTTAAAGTTCTACAACAACAACAAAAAAAAAACATTACAAAACCAGTAAAATGTGTCTGACAAAGATAAAAGGCCAAAAGCCATCACCCTGCAGCTCTCAACTGGCTACCCATTGAAGCTAAGCAGGGTTGAGCCTGGTCAGTACCTGGATGAGAGACCTGGGAAGCTATGGTTGCTGCCGGAAGTGGTGGTAGTTGGATCAGCGGGGGGCACCAACCCTGCTGTCTGTGTGGGTCCTAATACCCCAAAATAGTGGTGGGGACACTATACTGTACTGGCACCATCCTTCGGATACGATGTTAAACCAAGGTCTTGACTCTCAGTGGTCATTAAAGATCCCCAGGCATTTCTCGAGAAGAGTAGGGAGTTATCCCAGTGTCCAGGCCAAATGTCCTCCCCTTGGCCTTTACCGTGTCTCCAAATTGTCCCCATGTATGATTGGCTTGCACTTGCCCTGCAATGGACTGGTGCCCCATGCCTTGAGCTCATTGCTTGCTGGGTAGACTCTTGCTTCCCGCATACATATACTGTTGTATAAAGCAATTTGGTAAATTATATGACAAAGATAAAAGTTGAAAGAGAAATTGCAGATACAGTGGGTATAGAAAGTCACCACCCCCTTTCAAAATGTTCACCTTTTGTTTCCCTAAAGCCCAAAGAGAAGATAAAATCAGACTTTTTCTAGTTGTGTTTACAGAGTGTACCTTGCAACATCCAAGTGAAAAAAGAAAGCAACATTTCTGGAAAAAATAATAAAGTAGAATAACTGGGTTGGATAAGAAAACACCCACTGAGTTAATACTACATGGAAGTACCTTTTACTTGAATTACAGCCTTGAGCCTGTTTGGATACATCTCTACCAACTTTGCCCACCTAAAGGAGGGAATATTTGCCTATTCCTCCTTACAGAATTGTTCAAGCTCAGTCAAACTGCGTGGTGACCATTGATGGACTGTCCTCTTCAAACCACTCTAAAGATTTTCGATGGGATTTAGGTCGTGGCTCCGACTAGGCCACTCAAAGACATTCACCTTCCTGTCCTTCAGCCACAGTGCATTTGCTTTGGCAGTGTGCTTTGGATCATTGTCATGTTGAAAGGTGAAACATCTTCCCATTTTCAACTTCCTGGCTGAGGGCTGCAGGTTTTCTTCATGAATTTGCCTGCATCTTGCACCATCCACCTTCCCTTTAATCCTGACAAGTGTCCCAGTCCCAGCTGAAGAGAAACACTCCAACAACAGGATGCTGCCACCATCGTGCTGTATTGTAGGAATGGTGTTCTTTGGATGGTAAGATGTATTGGATTTTCGTCAGACATACCACTTTGCAGTCCAGCCAAAAAGTTAAATTTTGGTCTCATCTGACCACAAAACAAACAAGACTTAATGTGGCTTTTTTTGCCACCCTCCCATACAGGCCAGGTTTGTGGAACGCCTGTGATAGTTATCACATGCACACAATGACCAGTTTTTGCCATAAAGGCCTTTAGCTCATTCAAAGTTGCCATCAGCCTCTTGGTAGACTCTCTGATTAGTCTCCTTCTTGCTTAGTCCTCCAGTTTGGAGGAACGGCCTGATCTAGGCAAGGTCTGGGTGGTGCCATACACCTTCCACTTTTTAATGATGGTCTTGACTGTGCTCCATGGGATACTTAAAGCCTTTGAAATCTTTTTATACTCATCTCCTGATTTGTGCCTTTCCACAACTTTATTTCAAAGTTCTTTTGAAAGCTCCTTTCCACCCAGAGTGCATTCTTCGCTTTCAAATGCACTACCAAGCAGTGGAATTGTTTAGAAACATCTGTTTTTATTCTGAACTAATCCAAATCGCCACAGTTGATCACTGGTGGGGGCCAATTAATTTGTTGTCTGATCTGTAAGGTGATTGGTTATATCTGAGTTACTAATGTGATTGTAAGGGGAGTGTTCAGTTATCCAAATAAGGTATTTTACTGTTGTAAAATTAATCTTCAGAATGTTTTAGGACATTATGTTCACTTGACTAATGTGGGTTACTGTGTGTAAATTAAAATGGAACAAGCCTAATTTAATCTGTTTTTATTTTCAGAGTGTCATACAACAAAAGGTACAACATGTGAAAAGTTGGTGGTGACCTTCTATATCCATTGTATATTAAATGAGTATTTCACTCAGGTGTTCACTAACAAAGAAGTGTCGGAGGCAGCAGAAGAAAGTTCTTTATTAAACAGTATTGGTATAAAGGTTTCAGGTACTAGAAGTACTTAAGATAAATAAATATGCAAGACCTGATGGCTTCTTACCATTGGTACTCATGTAAACGAGAGATCTTATTCAGAAGCCATTGATGCAAAACAAAAGGAAAGACAACAAACACCCAACAAGTGGAAACTACACTGAAATGCATTAAAAACCAAGAATAGATTACGTGTTTTTACCTAAAGGGTTGTGAGAGTATGTAACAAGCTAGTCAGTCAAGTGTTTGAATCTTTGGCTTCCTTCAAAAATAGCTGATTGAGATCCTTAGATCACAAAGGTACTAACTATAAAGTGGGCCAAATTTCTTATGTTTCTTAACAGTGGAAATATATCGATGTCTTCTTCAATGTTGCATAATATTGAAAGAGACCACTTTTTACAGATTTTTTAATGAGCTTTTGGACTACGTGACTGCATCATGAATTTAAGAGATAAATAGAATGTCAGTCTGGAAAGGCAAATAAGCAATGAGCTTCAGTGCCAGGGACATGCAGTATGAATGTGTTCTGAAGGAAAGTATTGAGAGAGAAGCATTACATTTTCATACATGACTGATAGCTGTACTTTGGCAGGAGAGTCTCAATTTGGATATGTCGATGGAAGAAAGTAATCCTCAATAGAAACATTTAGAAAACCATCTGTGGTATAGACTTACAGAGCAAAAATGGATCAAGTTAAAAGGCATCAATCAAAAGTATCTCTCAATGAAAATGTATCTTGCTATAAAGAACTGGATGAAGTTCTAAAAACTTGAATGCATTATTTACTGCATTGTGTTGAGTGACTGGATTAAATTGGAGAAACAGCTTTAATTAATATTAATTTAAATGCATTGTACCCTTTTTAATTTCGAAAATACATACCCACTTTAACTACAGTATATAATGAATAATCTTTCCAAATGCCAGCAAATACTTGAAAATACTTCCATTAATGTGCTTAATAGAACTTACAACACTGAAAAAAATGAAAGAGTGAGTCTAGTGTGATCTAGAGATGTGAATAATAGTTTTCACAATCAGATATGTCTTTATAGTAATGAAAAACTGAGCCTTTTACAAGTTATTTCTGATATAAATGATACATATCTTATATCTAAAGTTTTCTAAGGAGTTTTGGAAGTTATTTTATTTTAATCATACCTGGTTTACAACATAAGGGAGCTTTTCTTGAGGTCTACAAAAAACAAAACGTTAGCAAAAAAAATTGATGTCTTATTAAAGTGAACCCTGACTTCTTTCATGCATCACAGACAAAATATAAGTTGTGAAATGAGGCATTCTAAAAAAAAACTGTTGCCACGGTGCATTTCTTTGAGATCTCTAAAGTAGCAGCACAGTAAAAGAAGAAAAAAAACAAGCATGTGAACAGGAAAACAAAAGGAAACATTCAGCAAGTGTTGGAAAACAAGCAGTGACATAAAACATTACAAATGGTGAAGTAAAAAAAATTAAATGTGGGATTAATTACGTAATTATGTAAACAATGTATAATTTATATTTGCTTTAGCAATAGATTTTATTTCTCCTCAAATTTGGATCTTGTAAGTAACATTTTTCAGACAGATGAAAAGTTAAAGCTACATTCTGAAATAATGTACCTAGTACAAAATATTAAATATTGTCATATACTGTATACATGATATTATACATTTCAATATACAAGTAGTATAAGTTAACAATTCACATTAAAAGTGTTAACCACTGTATTTGTAGTTGCAGATTTCAAACGTGTTTCATTATTTAAATGAGACAATTCTCAGTCCTCGGCCTGGAAAACATGTTTCTGATTTGTTTGTTAGCACTTAATCAATACTGCTAATTTGTAAGTTAGTGTGAGAGTGTCCTGTGATCGATTGGCGCCTACTCAGAGTGTGTCCTGCCTTGTGACCATTGCCTGCTGGGGTAGGTTCTGGCTTTCCCCCGACCCTGTATTAGATAGCGTAGTTAGAAAATAGATGAATGGATGATGTAAACCAATGTATTTAGACATATTAGACAAGTTGAACTTAAGAAAGGTTACAAATATGAGGACACAAATCTGATCATTTGTTTGCTAGAAGTTGAGAATTGATCTAAGGTTGTCATCTGGATGTTTCTTGAAAGAAGTCAAAGTACCAGCTTCAACAACACAGATGGGTGTTGAGTTGTTCCATACTTCCTTAACCCTTGGTAAATGAAGCACCTCCTGTTCTCAATTGAAAATACACATAGAGATAACACTTAGGTTTATGTTTCCCTGCTAAATCTGAAGAAGTGCACTCAGTTGACTTTGTCAGTGCCTTTGAAGATTTAGCTTTACATCTTATACTTTTTGAACTTGTTTGAATGGCATCCAAGGTACAGTATGTGTATCCAGTTTGTCATTGTTTTACTGGGTGAAATATGCTGCTTGATTCAATGTGTGACTAATTTGAAAATTTGTTTTCTGTAGAGATGTCTCAGCACATATCTTCAAAGCAACAAGTATTTCTCATGATAAACTCTGAGATGGTACTGTACATACTTTTTCCCCATCATGAACCCTGTATGTATTGCAATATGTTTCTGTTCCCATCTTCAGCTATGTGTTAGAATAATATTTAATCAGTTCTCTGTATCTATTTTCAATAGATTTAGAATAATATTGATTAAAGTACGTTTACTGGTAGAATTGTTACCTAGGTCAGTCCATGTAAAATCAGGTTTTAACTGTTGTTAGTGGTTATGTTTATCAGTGATTGGACAGAATTGCTTTTATTTGCATTAATGTTTGAGCTAACCTGTATTGAGTCATTAATTCTCATTCAGTTTTAATTCTGACAAACATGTTTATACATAATGCATTAATAAATGTCATGCTAGACATTTAGCTCTTTCTCTGACCTCACTGTTGTATTCTTAGCAAAACCCAGCTGCTGTATGTCCCATTTGTAGTTAGCTTTCATTTATATGGTATATAAATGATATATGATATATATATATATTATATCCTCATGTCCTTGTTTCACTATTGGTCCTGAAACAGTCATTTGAGTTAACTTTGGTAATGCCTTTTAATGCTTGTCTTCTGCTAATATTTTAGCCATTTTTGGTTCAGCTAACATTTAATTCTGATCAATCTGTGCTTTTGTGTTGTAGCCTTTTAACTTCATGGATGTGTAGAGAAATGAATTACCCTAATGATAATAGCACCTGAAAATGAATCAGTTACAGTAGATTTGATTTGTAAATGTATTGGATTAGGGCAGTGTGGAGTTTACATGTTCTTCCCAAGTTCACATGGGGTTATCAGTTTCCTCCCACAGATGTTTGAATTGACAAGCCAACCTTAAAGCATACATGTAAATGCTCAGGTACACACCAAAACATCAATTAGTTATATTGTCACATAAGTGAGTTCCGGTATATACACAACCCTTGGAAAACTCACTTAAAAACACATAGATTATGTCTTTTTAATTCTGTATTGTCTAACCAAATTGATGCATTCAGTATCAAAATGAACCATTTGATTGTTTTTGTTTCCTGTTGTTCTTTGCATGCCATAGTTCAGAGGTCTGTAGTCCTGTCTATGATGACCTTGTCCAGAAACATTCTGTATCTTGCCAGTCCAAACATACCTACTCAAACAACTGCCATTCAGTTACTCGTACAGTTTCAGCTTGATGGTTGATTGATAGTTACAGTTTTGAATTTCAGTGATTGAAATCTAGGAATACAAGGAAAATATGCCACTTCAAACGAACACATTTGATTTTTTCTGTGTTTCAAATTCAAATCTTTAAATTCAGCTATAAGAATTAAAATCAGGTTCTCTGTCTTACTGTATGGAACCAACATTTTTCAGCCTGGTGATGTACTGTTTTCATTTTGTTTTTTGAATAACCAGATTTCTGATTTCTGAATCCAATCATTTTACTGTCTTTGCGCTATGTTTATAGTAAAATAGTTTCATTTTTTTTCTTCATTATCTTACCTATTGAGGGAGTTGTAGTATTGTGACTTGGCATTACTGACATGAAGTGAAAAACATTTTGTAGCAATTTTTTCTTCCATGTCCATCTTCAGCAATGTTAAAATAAAATAAAAAAAATACATTTTTATTATCAAAATATAAGTGTGGCAGCCTAGACATGCCCGTTAATTAGATAATGTGTGGCCTCGCTGGGTGACTAAATTCAGTGATTTGGCATGAAATGGAGAACAGAGATTTATTCTGGGCAATTAGTCAATTATCTTCCAGGTGTCTGGTTTAAGCCTTTAAAGATTTAAAGATTAAGTGAGCCCTTTTTTGGTGTCTAAGTGTCTTAAACTTGAGAGAGACTGTTTTGATTTGTATTTGCTAATGCCCTTCCCTTTCACAACATTTTTTATTGTTTGGACTTTTTTCATTTGTTTTTCTTTTTTATTGGATAATTAAAAATTGTTCAATTAATTCACTACTAATGAATTTCATATTTAGTGCACATAAAGAATTTTCCAGATAAATTTGACTTAGTACCTGCTTTTCTGTCAGAGTTAGAATTAACTAGCACTAGTCATTTCTAATGTTTAAGAAATTACTGTACATACCGTAGTTAGTGCTACCCAATTTTCATTCATTAACACTTGATAATAACTCTTGTTTATTAACTTTGGAAATGAGCATAGACAATTTCAGGCTTGTTAAACACTGAAAAGGATAACAAGGATGTCCTCTGCAATTCCCCAGGCAGAAAAAAAAACATATTAGTAGATTGTACTTTGGTACATAAAAATAAGGTCTTCAAAAAAGTGTCTTCAATTTAGCCAAATTAAGTCATCAGAATTCAAATAAATAACTTATAGGAGATCACAAATCTTTTTTCTTGTTAAAATAGCAATACTGACAAAATCAGAATGTTACCTCTTGAAGTTCATGAATTTTTGCATCCTTATAAATTTGCTGATTGTACATGTCTTCATTAGAAGTTCCTCATCTGAATGAATCAGTGCCAACTTTGTTCTTCTGTCACTTTTTAGGAACGTCCTATGTTTAAAAAAGCAGTAATTGATTATAGACAAAATGGGTGAAAGGATTTCAACAGAATTGACTGCTCTCTTAAAAAGATTTAGAACTGGATTTTAATGGTATACGTTGTTTGGGCAACCACAATATTTATAGTAATTTATGTTTTAACTGCTATGTGCATATTGACTTTAGAAGTGCTGATGTGCCATTTTCATTGGTGACTTGGCTCTTCTTTCCAGGTGACAAGCAGAGGACATCATGTGGAAAGACTTGCCAGGGAGACATGGACAATGAGTGGATGGGGGTAACCCTTGCCAGACAGGAAAAAGACAGTGGAAGTGTTCTGGTGAGTGGATCCTTTGTAGTTGGAGCTGCCTGTTATGTCTGATGTAAAAAGAAATAAGTTAACTAGCACCTGCCTGCTCTCTGAAGTCATTTACTTTTTGTGCTCCAGTACTTCATACTTCATTTTGGTAAAAATGGCTGTCCTCATCTGATTTACAGAAGTGTTGTAATCTTAACACTCGGTGAGAGAGGATGAGAGACACACAAAATGTACAATATTGTCCTCTCTGAAATTGGAAAAACTGTAGATGAAAGAACAAGCAACTGTATTAACAGAAGAGTAAAGAATACCACATACATGTATGAAACCCGTAAGTAGTACTTAATCTAGATAGATTACATGGATTAAATAGAACTGGTGAGACCATCTGAATTGAATGAAAAATTTGAATACACCTCACATGGTCATCTTCTACTGGGGCACCCAGACATCTCCTGGTTTTCATTGCAGCTGAAATCTTTACTTACAGTAAAAGAACCAACAAGCTGCTTGGTGAGAACCTTTGAAAGTTTCTTTTTAGAATTTTAGAAAAGCCTTAGTTCAATGACAACATCTGACATGTTTAAGAACTGAAAATAAAAAAAACTCAAATAAAACATATCTTTGAGTCTATTAAGGGTTCAATTATTTATTTAAGTTCTCAGATGAAACAAAAATCAGAAGGTATGTGGGTCCCCAGGACCAGAATTTAGAACCCTTTCAATGGGAAGAGATTAAAGTGCACTCTAACAGTAAAAATACCTATTTTTTATTTCTTTGGCATCAGTTTTAGCTTGTTCTGCCTACAAGCCTTCCAACACAAACTCTTGCTGACCAGCATAGTTTTCTAGTGTTTTCCTGGCATACACTGTCTTAGCTGTGGTCCTCTTTCCACCACCCACACCACTGCTAATCCTGGTCATGTTGTAGAGGGATTCACCACAGATGGACAGCTGCCACATCTTTTATAGTTATTGAAACATCGAGACTACTCCAAAAGCACTATTTCCAGCCATTGACAAATTCTGGTGTTTTCTTTCATGAATTTACTGCCTCAATTCCATACCACCTACAATTAGATTGCCTGTCTTTTAATATTATGTCAGTATCTAAAGCAAGCAGAAGTTGTTATTGCAGTGGTGTTTTGACATTTTGTGGAGCATTCAGCAATTATGGTTTGTAGTCATACAGGCTTCATATTTCAGTAGAATGTTCATATGCAAATCATGACATGTATGTAGTTGTTTTGGATGATAAAAGGGCATAAACTGTACGAATTAAGAGGCTAAATTTGACATATTGATTATGGTTATCATAAAACTGGATCAATTACAAAGGCGATAGAAGTGGTGAATCAATGCCTGAGATTATAAAATTGTAAGCAGATTAAACTGCTGCCACCTTACCTAGAAGTACAGTACACCAAGTACACCAAGTGTGGATAGATCAGTAATGTTGCAATATTTGCTGATTACTGAGCATAAAAAGCCTACTAATGCTGTGAAATTCCATTACTTTTCTCTGCCTTTATTGGTTGTATAAAACTGTAGCTGGCAGTTTAGAAAGAATCAGGTGACCTAGGTCAAGGTAATGTTTTTCCCCTTTGTGGACATTTGGCCCAAGGTTACTTGCTCTCCCTGCTTCAAAGTCGGTGATATCAGGTGTAACGGCTTTTCAAATAGAGAGGCTTTCCATTTCCTGGTAGCCTTCCAGTGCAGACAGGTAATGAGTCTCTCTAGAACCTAAGGGAGATGTGTGTCTCTCCTGTGGGACACAAGTTGTTGAGAAGTGTCAGATGCTCATCTGTACATTTTATCTACACATTCAGAGCAGAAAAAGAGAAAAAAAAACAACTCCTGACCTTGAAGCAAATATTGTCTGATGATATTCTTGAAACTTCATTTCCTTAGTAAAAAGTATTTGTTCTTTAGAAAGTGATTTAATATTTTTTATGGTGTTTGAAGAGATAAGCATTTTTAGAATTTGAACATATTAAAGGTAAATGTTTTATCAAATATATCTAGATGGTGCAGAACAGTATTTATTACAATTACATGGTGACCAAACCTAAAATAAAGCCTCCTTGACTTTTTTTGAACTCACATTATGCATTGTGTAGAATGTATTGCTTGAATACAAGTTTTGGAAAGATAATAATTTGATGGTTTAATGCAAGTTCTCTGTTATTTTTTTCAAAGTTAAAATGGAAAGGCAGTTCAACTAAAAAAAATTCATAGGTTATGTATGCAATTCTACTAATTTTACCTACAAGTCAGTTTGTTGTTTGTTTTTATGGTGCTTTGGTAGTATTTAATGTTTATTACTACAGAAAGCTTGCTGTGAAGTCCAGGTTTCTTTTTGGCTGGGATACTGGGCACAATCTCAACACTTGGCGCTTTTAGTTAAGGCTTTGGCTGTTTTGTGAAGCTCATATGCTGCTGAATGAGCTCAAAGTGGATACCTGGTACAAAGGCACATATGTTTTATTTTTTGCCTGTGTTGAGTTTGTGGTTTGGGTCAGAGGAGAATCAAGTGTTTTATCTTTCATCTGTGTGGCTTCTTGGAAGGAGAGTGAACATCTTAAACAGTGGATAGAAATTAGTGGCAATGGGAGATGCAAGTTACTCCATTTTCAAATACCTTTCATAACTGGTGGTGAAAGTGGTTTGGAATGAGAAAAGAAATCTAGAAACTCAGTTGATTTTTATGTAAAGCTGCGAGAAATTACCTGAGAGAACAGAACACTGAATGTGATTTCCTAATTCCTTTAATATTCTGACATTTATATAGCATGAAATCTTAATTCATTGATTATTTTCATCTTTTCATTTGTTCTCAATGTTAAGGCATAAAAATGCTGCATTTCTCCAACAAGAAAATCATTTAACACAAACCTTTATGCAGACACAAATATCCAAGCCAAAAACTTGTACTTTCTCTGGGTCTTAAATTATTACCATATTTTGTCACGACTTTTATAGAGTTTGGAAGCCTTTCCATAGTTTCCTATTTATTTTTAGTGCTTTAAAATGTTAATATGAAACTAAATAGGCAAAATGTTCTTGATTAACCATATTTCACAACAGTGGACAAAATAAACATGTTAGTGGACAATGTGAAACATGAAAACAAAAACTTTCTTACGACATAGATCATGAGAGAGTGGTAAAAAATGTCTCAGAAAGCCTGTCTGCTGATTATTTGCAGTGTCTGGCCAACATTGAGCTGGAATAATTCCCATTGTATTTCTTAAATTTAGCCTGCTCATTTATTCCTCAAACATAGTGTATAGCAAGGGATTCTGCTTGCTTGACCCATGTAATCAACATGAACAGGCTTGCATTGAGGTGTGAATTTGAAATTACCATTGGTACTATCCTCATTTAAAACCAGTTTACTTACTTGTTTGTTTGTCTTCAGCAGCATGCTTTAAAATGAAGCCATTACCATAAGAAAAATAAGTCTGTGCATCGGGCTGTTAGACTCAGGAGTCTATATCGTGCCCTTTGAATAAATAAGACAGTCTGGAATAAAACCTTTTGAATACCTTTCTGGCATTTGAATAAGGATCGATGTACCCTGTCTGTCCTTGTGGAGAAGGTGTATAAGATAATGATGCATGCATTATCTGAGCTTCCAGCTGTTTGTAAATCATCCCTGAAAGCCCTTTTAGCATCACTACATTTTGCACAAACACTTGGAGGACACCATGGAACAGTAAATCCTCTGTACGTCAGATATCTTTCACCAATCTACTTGCTTTTATAAATAGAGACATTTTTATCTTGTCTCTTCCTTGTCTCCAACCCAGAGATTGTTTTTTACCTCTGTTCCTCCTTAGTATTTGTATTTTTTGCTTAGTGCGCCCAACATTCCTAAAAGTATAGATCCTGAAACTACACCATAAAAAGGTATGCAGTGCAAAATCACATTGGTTTAAAGCCAAGTGCAGTGTACCAGTCCCGTTTGGATTCAAACCACTGAAACAGGTTTAGCATCAAGCAGCTGAGATTCACAGAATGACGGACAATTCAGATCTGGTCTCCATGTTCTTAACAATTCAGTGAAGACATGTTGCCATTATAGGCTCATTATGCAGTTTGAGCTGTTACATAGATTACTACAATTTTTCCCTTTATTTAAAATAAAGTATTTGTTTACCATTTCCCTAATGCTTTCCACTTTTTTCTATTAAATTCCTGAGAAACATCCATCCTTTTTCAATACAGTTGTCTTGATGAGGGTCACAGTAGTGTTATTACATATGTGTAAAAGTGGTCCTAGCTGCATTCAGTTCTAATTTGTGATGGTAGAACAGGAGTCTGCTACCTCTGTCCCCCATCTCAAATATGCAAAAATTATGCATACTGATCAAACATGTCATGTTTTAGCTTAAATGTGAATAACAAATCAGCAAATTTACTCAGTCAGAGGGCTTTCCTTTTCTGTCCCTATTTGGATATTTGGCTCGCTGTCTGTCTCCATCTCCCTTGGCTCTCTCAGTGCACGTGTCTCAGTAGGAGTGCCAGTTGATTTTACTGTGGTAGGTGTCTGTCATGCAGCTCACTCAAGAGGGTATGTGAAAAACTCTCCAGGGATCATAGTATAGGAGTACATGTTCTTGTGTGTGTGCTGGTGTGTGTATGGCCTTTTAATCATGAGATTTTGCATGTCAAAATAAGGAATAAGGAACTAGTTAGAACTTATTTGTTTTGACCATGATAATAATAATTGCTTACACTTATATAGCGCTTTTCTGGACACTCCACTCAAAGCGCTTTACAAGTAATGGGGACTCCCCTCCACCACCACCAATGTGCAATGAATGGAATCATAAAATTAATATCTGGAAAGAATAATACTACAGTAAAATATTTCAATATAATTTATGATTAATCATAATTGATACTGTGTATAGAAAAAAATTGATCCAAGATCTCAGAGGAATAGCTTATTCATTGTTTGATAGAATAGATATTTTGTCTTTCAGTTGTCTTTTTTGGGTCATACAGTATGCATGTTCCTTTGATACCATTTGTTTTTAGATAGAAATTGCTTTTAAGAGGTTATGTATTGCCTTAACTTACACACAAGTTCCAGAGCTCACTGTAACCAGTTACTTTATTTTCCTACAGCTTCTTGTTCATTTTAAAAAACAATCCCTCACACCAGTTACTTGTGACTGTAACAGATAACTTTTCCCAACACTGCTTTTCATTTTGAGATCCTGTTTAAACTGTGTTGATGTGTGTGGTCCTGTGTGTTGTAGGCCTGTGCTCACCGCTGGAAGAATGTTTACTATGGGACCGAGCAAATTCTGCCTCATGGCTTCTGCTCCATTATCTCCCCCAATCTTCAAGGCAATACCAAGCCACTCATTCCCTGCTATGAAGGTAAACTACTCTATCTAGGTCTGTGTTGAAAGAAAATTCTAATCAAGGATGCCTGAAGAAAAAGGCACAATGTTTACATGGCACTTCACATCCTTTTTTATTCCAAATGCAGAATAACCAGATTCAGGAACCCAGTCATATAGTCTGTAATGAGATTCAAAAATCTGTTTTCTTTCTCTAATACTATTTCAGGAAACCAGATTTGCTTTCTGAATTTTGTTTTCTTGTGTATTCTGAAATAAGTCCCTTTTAAATCCAATTCCCTGATGTTAAACTCACTGGGTTAAAGTATTCTTTAAGTAGTATGAGTTAAACTTTTTTAAAAATTAGAAATTAATATTTTATTGCTTTTCTGCAGTGAGGTGATGTAATGTGACTTTTCAACATTAGAAAGTGTAGAAACAAAACCTTCAAAGGATCTCAAAGCTGTGTAGAGGTGTGTTAGGAAAA